GGTGGGGGAGGGAGGTAGAAAGGCGCGAGGGGGCGGGTCCCCGCGCTGCTCGCCGCTGATTGGCTGAGCGCGTGTGGAATCGGGTGATGGGAAACGCAGCCCAGCTCTCCCGTCCCCTCCTGCTGCTCTCCCTCTCCCCCCGCCTCCTCCCCGTGGCGAATGTGCTGCGCGGCGGCGGGTGCTTACGCTCGCGGGGTTTGGCTGTTGCAGGCAGGAGCTGGGAGGAGGCGGCAGCGGCAGCGGCAGGAGCGGCGGCAGCAGCAGCGGCAGCGGCAGCAGCAGCGGCTGGGAGGAGGTGGTGACGGTGGCAACGGCAGCGTCAGGGACGATGGCGCGACTGGTGGCAGTGTGCAGGGACGGGGAGGAGGAGTTCCCCTTCGAGAGGAGGCAGATTCCCCTCTACATAGACGACACCCTCACGGTGAGCGGGCCGGGCCGGGCCGGGCTCGCCGCTCCCCTGGCAGCTGTTTCCCCTCCTCCCCCTCCCCCAGGCCGAGCGCTGCGCACTGGAGAAAAGAGTGTGTTGCAACTCCTAGGCGAGGCCTTCTCTCCGGCAGGCCGGAGTGGGTCGTTTGGTAACGTCCGCGGGCCCCTAGGCTGGCGCTCCACCCGCACTGAGAACCCCTCTCCCCGGCTCTTACTCCTCCTCTGCCGCTCTCTTCTTCACCCTTTCCCTTTTGGAGACGGTGCTTTTGCCCGAAGCACGCTCCTCGGAGAGGGGCTGAAGGATCTCGGGCGTCCAGGGCCTATCCCTTACAGAAACCACCTACCCTCGGGGAGGCTTAATTATCTGGAAATGTCGCAGCTGCACTGCTATCTGTCTATTTTCTAGCTTAACACTACAGCTCTCACTCCATAAAGCATAATTACGGAGGGCAGGGTGACATGCTCTTGTACAGGAAAGATCCCACTAAAAGGATCTGATTTCGCTACAGTCTCAATATGCCTAGTACATTAAAACTGTTGGAAATGATTGTATTGCTAGGCCATGACTCTTCAAAACGGGCTTTCTTGGCATTAATGATTCTTTAATTTACCGGTAGCTTTTCCTAAGGAAGCCACAATATTGAATGTGTAAGGGCATTATAAAAGGCTGATGGCTCATCTTGAATGTCAAAACCCAGTTCTGAGTAGTTTTCCTTTTTAGAGTTGATGGTGGTACAGCATTACAGACCCTCTGCCCTGGGTTGCTGTAGTGTTTCCTTTAGAAGGAAATGGCAGAAATTTGAATCTGAACAGGAAATGAGTGCAGTCGCTTGTCACAATTTCTTAAGAAATGAAATGGACCTTTTCTGAGAATCTTGAAGTGTGCGTTTTGATGATGCTGAAGCTTTGGATTATACCTTTGCGTTTTGATAAGGTGTAACTAAGTGTCTTCATCATACCACCTTTGCCTTTTTTCCTTTTCAAAGGTGGTTGGTGTGTTCTGTTCCTGAATTTCTTTTTTGCAAATACCTGCTGAACTTTTTTTCAAATTTTGTGTAAAATGCAAGTCATTGTAGAGATGTCACTATGCCTTTCTGTTTGCCAGTCTCAATTAAGATTTGATTGAGCTGCAGTACCTTTAAAAAGCATTAGAAGAGCTATTGAATGACTTAATTTGTTAGAACTTTTTAAGTGAAAGCATCTATAATTACTTAACTGCATTTTTTTTTCCCCATGGAAAAAGAACGTTTGGGCTCACATAAGGTACATACATAGACTTTGTGTTTCGTTAGAAAGTGTACTTGTATGCTTTGGTCATGATTTTTGCACTAAAAGTATAATGGACTTGTATTTTTAAAAGTGTTTTTTTTTTTTTTTAAATTAGCACTCTGATCAAATTAAATGAAGGATTTCTCAATTTGAAAATTAATATGAGTTCATTTATTGATAATTTTCTTTCTTCTCTCTCCCTCCAACACAGATACTTTTCTAGAGCATATAGTTTGGTATCAACCTTTTGTGTTTCTTGTCCTAGATAACCTTTGAAGTTAAAAAAAAAAAATTTGAACATAAGGTTATTATTGAGTGTATACTATCAAAACATAGGAGAAATCAACCTAAGATTTGAGTATTTACAAAAATTTAAGACACTTATGAGTCTCTCCTTATGTTCACAGAGTCACCTTTAATATGTACGTGGCATTGATATATCCATCAAATAGTTTTTTAAAATAGGCAACTTTTGGGTGTTTTTATACTCTCTTCTGAATGAATTACCAAAATTTTCCTTAGAAAAAGATGTAACCTGTACTGTAACTTGCACTATTATTGTACTTACTTCTTTGGGGAAGTTGGGATTGAACTGACCTGGCAGTGGAGTTTTGCTTTTATTGTATGGTGGACTTGTGACCCAGGCAAATAAAATTTAGGCTTGCTTAATTTAAGTATCTTAAGTAGCATCTTATTTTTTATTTTTCTTTGCTATGGAAGGTTTTTTTTTCCACTAGGAAATGAGTGGGACTGTTCATTCATTGCTTTGTTATGGAACTTACATATGGTCACTGAATACTGGTTTGTGTAAAATCTTGTCAAGAGTCCATCCTATTTAGGAAAATAAGTTTCTTTCAGAACCATTCTACCAGACACTACTTAAAGGAAGAGTGTAGAGCAAACACCTGTTGAAGAGGGAGAGGGAGGAAGGAAGCCTGCAGCAGAGGGTTATGCTCAGCACTGGGTCATTGATAGTTGATGTCATTGTATCCCTGAAGTTAACTTTTGGTTTGGTCTTTGTTCCTAGAGCCCATAGGTAATCCACTGAGAAAACATTGTGTGATTATTTCAAGTCTTAGAACCTTCTTAACTTCTAGGTGTTAAGTCTAGTTACAGTGTTTACAGTCAGTTACAAATGTTTATCCTTTGCAGAAGCGAATACCTTTAGCCTGAGGTAAACTAGTGATTTTAAGTTGGATTTGTAAAATGAAATTAACGAGCTTGTAGATGAGGAAGTAGCCTCCTCTTTTATGTGGTGTGTTGTAGCCACATTTAAAAGACTCATGGCAGTTTAGTGGGTTTGAGTACTTGAGTACAGTGCTGATGTAGGTGTGTTTGAGAAAAATCCCAAGTAAACTGGTGGAATATTTAGGAAAATGGTATGGTGTGTAGCCAAAATGCTTTTCAGTGTTACTAGAATTATAGAATAGCAGATGGACAGAATACAGGTTTTATTTTAAAGCCATCTTTGAAGAATTGGGATTCCCCGGTGGCTCAGTCAGTAAAGCATCTGCCTTTAACGTGGGAGACCTGGGTTCATCCCTGGGTCGTGAAGATCCCCTGGAGAAGGATATGGCACCCCACTCCAGTATTCTTGCCTAGATAATTCTATGAACAGAGGGACCTGGTGGGCTGCAGTCCATGGGGTTGCAGACAAGACTGAGCAGCTAACACACTTTCTTTGAAGGATTACTGTTTTTAAAGTATTTTTAGAAGGAATTAATAGTCAGAATATATACTCCTTATAATATAATCTTGAAAAATGGTTGTAAAACAAACCAAATTATCCTTTGCTCTTCTTCACAGAGATAGCTGAGATTATAGAGCAGCATTTCATGTAGTTCCCATCATAGAAGCATACAGATTTAGAGTTAAGATGTATCATCTTCTGTAACACTTCATATCTTGCTTCTTCTCACTGAATGTAATACTGAGAACATTTTCTCTTATCTTTCTTAAGCAGTGTTAATGGCCTTGTAATACTTTGTTGTATGACATTCCAGGATGTAATCATTCCTCCTTTGTTGGCCATAGAGGTAGTCCTAGTTTTTGCTATGAATAACATTCTTAAGAATATGAATAATGCATAAAATTTTGTATTAACAATTTTTTATGGCTTTTCAAAGGAAAATTACTGAATCAAAGGATAAAAATCTTCTATAAAATTCTTGATACATACTGTCAAGTTACTACAATGTGGAACACAATTTACCCTCCTAATTCAAATCAATCTAAACGGACTAGAAGCTCTGATAAGGGTTTTTGAGACTTTAAAAAGGTGAAAAATGTAGTGTATCCACTTGAGGATTAGGTATTTAGCATCAGTTAGAAGTTTAGTATTGTTTGCTTAAAAAAGAAAAAAGACATAGATCTTTATTTATATTATATCTTAGGCTAGGCCATGTGTGTCATGCCATGGGGGATCTTAATTTGCTGACCAGGGATCGAACCCGTGCCCCCTGCATTGGGAGCTCAGAGTCTTAACCACTGGCCCACCAGGGAAATTCGCCTGCTTTCAATTCTTGATTAAGTTTTTCATTTACCAAAGGTGATAGATGTTACAGATGGCTGTGAAGATGAAGAAGTAAAAAAGTAAAACTAAAGGAACAGGGGTTTTTAATAAACACAAACAGTATTGTTGGATTGGAGCTTGTGAGAATGCGCTAGGAGCAGATTGATTGTGGTCAGGAGAAACCGGGACAGGCACTTAAGCGTGAAAGCGGGCGATGGATTCGATAAACTTTATAAAGCAGTAATTGCAGGACAGTGACTTATTCTATTTTTGGCAAGCCTCGGGATAGGCAACCTCATCATGAAGCCAGACACTGATGATTCCTCTGTGAAACCACACCTGAAGTACTTTACGTGACTGTCTTCCTTTGGGTAACCTAGAGTCTGAAGAATAAATCAGGGAAGTGATTTTACAGAATGAGGGAAAATAGTTCCGCTGTCCTTGATCTTCCTTTTTATTTTTTCCCTTTTTCTTATTTTGGTGTCATCAGTGAAGAGCGTATAGTGATTGGCCAGTAAACAGCAAAGTAAAAAGCCATTGTTGTAAGGGAAAGGCAAGGACAATAATTATTTAGTGTGAGCATGGAGTTTCTAATTGGGTCGGTATTGAATATGTGTGAGTGTGTGCATGCATGCTCAGAAGCTCAGTTGTGTATGTACAAGAGAAAATTTAGTATTATTCAAGCCAGTGAAACACAGGAAAGACACAGTAATATACTTGATCTTTACATTTGTCTGTACTAGTTCGGTAAAAATGAAATGGTTGGAAATGAGGGTTTTGTTTCAAAAATTTTAACCCTGTTCTTTATTGACTTTTTAAAAAGGATTCAAGAATTAGGTATTATTCATTAAATTTTATTTATTTATGGCTGTGCTGGGTCTTCATTGCTGCATGGGCTTTTCTCTAGTTGTTTCAAGCTGGAACTAGTTTTTGTTGTAGTGTGCAAGCCTCTTATTGCGGTGGCTTCTCTTTCTTATGAAGCACGCTGTAGGGTGCATGGTCTTCAGCAGTTGCGGCTCCCAGGCTCTAGAGCATGGGGTCAGTAGTTGTGGCGCACGGGCTTCGTTGCCCCGAGGTTTGATCCTCCTGGATCAGGGATTGAACCCGTGTCTCCTGCATTGGCAGCTGGATTCTTTATCACTGAGCCACCGGGGAAAGTGAAGTCGCTCAGTTGTGTCCGGCCACCAGGGAAGCCCCTATTAAATTTTATAAACTTACGTATTTTAAAGGTCAGCTGGTGGATTTTAATATATAGGTGTGCTCTCAGACCTCTGCTTTAATTATTAAAACAATAAAATATAGTTGATCAGAATAAAAATAATACACGAGTCAGAATTTAGGATTTCACCTGTGAACTGGAGAGAGATTAATTTGGTAAATTGAGTAACTTTGATTTTAAAATAGCATAGGTAATTGTCTCAGTTTTTTTTTGGCAATTAATATGTGGTGAAATGATGTGTATATGTATCAAGCAAGTGAAAATGTAAATCAAAATATTAGCTGTTTAAATGGTAGATTGGAGTGACTTGCAGTGTTCTGGTGAGCTATGTGGTTTATCCTATACCTTTTTTTATGACTTGATGAGTTAAGTTTATTCGTGTTTTAAACCATGTGGTTTAAACAGAGAACAAGTGAGTTAATTGCTCTGTTCTTTTTTCAGTTTTTATGGGCCAGGATTTCTAATACCAGGATTATTAAGACTAGTAACCAATTTTATTTTGTACTGTTGGCAAAGTTAATATATGACTGTGCTCAGAACAATGGCCACTATACATAAAGCTACGTTAAATGTCTTTATTATTATTGCCATCAGTCTTTGGGGATAAGACACCAAAAATTGATGACAAGTTGAGTAGCCTAAAAATTGGGTAATTGATCCTAAAACTGAGCTGTGGACATGCTGTCTATATGTATGGAGGAAGAAACTTCCAACCTAGTAAAAGCTCCTGAGATGGAAGCATGAGCGTATCTCTGAACTTGATGAATGTAGAATTGGAAACGAGGAACACTAGCTCTTTCCCTGGTAGTAAGTGGTGTGTGTGTGTTACAGTACATTTGGGAAAGTCATCTGTCTTTTCACTGCCCAGAGATAGCCACATCTGATATATTATATGTTTTCTTTTTCTGTAAGAAAATATACACATGAAAATTTGAATATATTGTACATGCAGCTTTTGGTTCTGTGAAATAAACTCAAGTCCTCTGGATTGTTGAATAGGTGTTTGCATCCATCCTTAGTATCTACTTGCCTTTCTAACACCCATATTCAGTAGTCCCCTCTTCACAAATCAGGAAAAGGTCTTATATCTGTTGTTTATACTTGCCTTAATGGTTTAGTTCTCTATTTACTGTTAGAATAAGCATGTGTTTAGGTTCTCATTTGTGATGTGGAGGTGAAAGAGTGGTCATTTGGTTAAAGAAGCAGGTCTTTGTGATGCTGGTTGCTGAAGGGAGGAGTCTTTTTAAGATCACGTTCAGTTGAGTGGGTTTTTTAGTTTTTTTGTTTTTGCCTCAAATGGTCTCTTTGTCTTGACTTCACTCTTTGAGTATGTAGGAGTTTGTGGACCTTGTCACTTGGAAATAGAAGTTTGTCCTAGCACAGTATGTTTGATACATTTAACAGTGTTTTAGTTAAGATATAAATGTGTTACTTTAGTTCATTGTTTTGAAGGCATACTTTTTTCATATTTAACATCTCTAAAATCGGGATACTTCTTTGATTTGGTGACATCTTCTAGTTACAATGATTCTTTCCTAGTGGTACATAACCTAGTGGTACCTAGTGGTACATAAAGTGAAAGTGAAGTCGCTAAGTCGTGTCCGACTCTTTGCGACCCCATGGACTGTAGCCTACTAGGTTCCTCGGTCCATGGAATTCTCCAGGCAAGAATACTGGAGTGGGTTGCCAGTTCCTTCTCCAGCTAAGGTACTCCTTAAAATTAGTGGTGTCACAGATCGGTGAAACGTGGTGATTACTGATTTCCATTGTCTGACATCCCGAAACAGCCTTAAGCTTTATATATCCCTCATCCTCTGTCAATGAATTTTGAGAACTGAATAAAAATTTCAGTGTATTTTTTTCTTTTCATGATTAGAGCAAACATTTGCTATGTGTTGGATATTATTCTGAGTATGTATCTGTGTGTGTGTATTTGTAAAGTGAAGTCATTATATATATAGTCATATAGGTATATATAGTTATTTACTTGATAAAATTTACTGTATTCTGTAGCTGTGAGGAATAACTGAAAAATGTCAGGATTTTTAATGTAAGATATCAGGTTATTTCACTTACTAAATGCTTTCATTAGCCACTACAACACACATTTTTAAATATAAGTTAATCCTCACAATCCATTCTATAAGAGATATTAAAAGTTACTATTTAATCTCATTTTACAAATAAGGAAGCTGAAAATCAGACTTGTTAAGTAACTTGCCCAGAATTATGACATAAATTGTAAATTATAATAGAGGTGCATTTGAATTCAGGTCTGCCTGACTTCAGTGCCCTTGCTTCTAATCACTATACCATTTCTGGCTTTAGAAACTGTAATTTGGATTTTTTTTTTAACTTTTTGATGGAGGTGGGAGGGAGCAAATTTGGCTTCAGGGGAGTCTATTTCTGTCCTAGGATATTATAAAATAGTCTATATCAATGTTTTCAAAGAAGGTAAAATAATTGATTTGTATTCTTTTACATATTAAGATGGTGATGGAATTTCCTGACAATGTGTTAAATCTTGATGGGCATCAAAATAATGGTGCACAACTGAAGCAGTTCATTCAGGTAAGTTTTAAAAATTAATGTTTTAAATGGTGTGTGTGTGCATGAGCACGTGCACGTGTGTATGTGTGTTTTAAGGAGTCATAGATGTAATTTTATTTTACCTAGGGCTCTGTAGGTCTTAAGATTCAGTGAGGTTGCTTTCTTTTACCGTTGCTCCAGTTATATGTACATCCCTGTGACGTGAAAGATTTGGTGGTGGTGTGTTACCATTTTACATGTCTGTAAGGCTTTAGTTTCACTAGTTTAATTTTATTTTTTTTTTTTTTTAGTTTCACTAGTTTAATTTTAAATTTAAATTTAATTTCCCTGTTTTTAAAAGATAAGACAGACAACTTTTCATTGAGAACTTTGTTATCTTCTGTAATTGTTTTGTTCTGTTAAAAAAAAACTTTGTATTGTGAATTTTCTGATTTTTATTTAATTCTTTTTTAAATTTTATTTTATTTTTTATGGAAATATAGTTAATAAACAATGTCATGCTAATTTTTGCTCCACAGCAGAGTGACTAGCTATACACATGTATATATTCTTTATATTCTTTTCCTGTATGGTTTATCCCAGGATATTGGTTATAGTTCCCTGTACTGTACAGTAGTACCTTGTTGTTTATGCATTTTAAATGTAATAGTTTGCAGGACTTCCCTGGTTGTCCAGTGGTTAAGACTTCACTTTCTAATGCAGAGGGGTGTGGTGTGAGTTCTGTCTCTGATGAGGAGCTGAGATCTGGCATGCCTCATGGCCAAAAAACCAGAATATAAACAACAGAAACAATATTGTAACAAATTCAATAAAGACTAAAAAAAAAAAAATAAAAAAGTAATGGTTTGCTGCTACTAATCCCAAACTCCCAGTCTTATTTAATTTTTAAACAGTGTGATACTTTGTAAATATACTATATATGATCAGTATAAAGGAAGATAAATGGTTACTTTATTTCAAAATTGTTTCAGCTTTTGGAGAAAACTGAATTAAAGGTTAATGGTAAATATGATAATGTCCTTCTTGGGAGTTAACTTTCTCACCTTTATTTATTTATTTTTGGTAAAGTACACTACATTACTTATAGTGTAACTATAGCTCCAGCCAAGTAGAAGTTATTTCCTGGAGTTTTTGCCCATTTCCCTACATTCATATGCACTAGCGTTTTACTCACTCACTGCAGGCTCCTCCATAGAGGAGATGGGCCTTGTTCTCTCCCCCTGATCCCTAACACACCTGCTCACGCCTCCAGGTTGAGAATTGCTGCCCTACATGATCACCATCCTAACTTGACTCATGCAGCTAAACACAGTGTGTTCTTAAAGGCTGAGAAGGAGACGTAGTAAAGCTATATTGTTTTTATTCTTTTTTCTTTGAAAGTTTTCTGTTTTAAGTGAGAGTACTACGCTTAACGCCCACATGGAACAGGCACTAGATTTCCAGGTGCAGGGTTTCTTTGGCTGTGCTGGTCACCTACTGCACAGCCCTGGCATCCCAAGCAGCGTTTGTTTGTTTCAGCTGTGCCTGCAGCATGTGGGATCTTAGTCCCCCAACTCAGGGTTGAACCCGTGGCCCCTGCACTGGGAGCGCAGGGTCTTAGCTGCTAGACCACTGGGGAAAGTCAGTAAGCAGAGTTTTTTGTGCTTGAGATTCTAAAACTGGCCTCAGGGAGGGCAGTGTGAGGGTTGTGGCGTAAACTCGGTGCAGCATGGATAAGGCCAGCGCGTCTTGCCTTTCTGACTCAGTTGCAGGTAGATGGCAGGCCCTGCCCAGGCTGTACTTACTGCACAAGGATAAGGAATTAGCATAGTGAAAGTCATGTTATGTCTTCCTTATGAACTCTTCTTTATTTTTCTTTCCCTTTTTTCTCAGCGACATAGTATGCTTAAGCAACAAGATCTAAGTATTGCCATGGTGGTGACATCACGTGAAGTCTTGAGTGCACTTTCTCAGCTTGTGCCATGTGTGGGTTGTCGTCGCAGTGTGGAACGCCTCTTTTCCCAGCTGGTGGAGTCTGGAAACCCTGCCCTTGAGCCCCTGACGGTGGGGCCCAAGGGAGTCCTGTCTGTAACTCGAAGCTGCATGACTGATGCAAAGAAGCTTTATACATTATTTTACGTACATGGGTGAGTATAATCAACTAGGAAACAATGGGTTTGCTTTATTTTTAAACTCAGTGAGAGTGGTAGCTTATTTCTAAATTTGATTGGGGCAAAGCTTGAGTTCAGATTTAACGCGAGTAACTTCTGTGTGCCAGTGACTGTAAAGTTTCTTTTCTTAAGGTAGAGACAGGCAGTAAGCAAATACATACTTTGTCAAGAATGTTGTTACAAAGACAAACTAGTAAGGGAGATAGAGAATGAGTAGGTAGAATTCACGTGGAAAGTGGTCACGGAAGGCCTCTCTAATAAAATGACATTGCATATAGGCTAGAATAAAGTGAGGGAGTGAGCCATGTAGATATTTGGGTAAAGACAGAGAAAGGGCAGTAGGTTAAAGGTTCAGAGGTTGGAGTTTCCCCAGCATGTTTGAAGAACAGCAAGGAAGCCATGGTAACTGGAGGCAGATGAGTGAAAGGAACAGTAATAAAAGATGATGTCAGAGGAGCACTGAGAGGCCTAATTATGTGCTGTGCTGAGGTCTTTTATCTTAACTCTGAGACGGGAAGATTTGGGAAGGTTTTGAGCAGAGGAGTACGTGGTCTACCTTGGAGTTATGCTTCCTTTTACCTCTGTGTTACGAGTAAAGGGAAGGCAGAGAAACAGGTTGTTCAATAGTCCATGCAAGAAAAAATGGTGACCAGTAAAGTGGCCACAGAGATAATGAGAAATGGCTGGATCCAGTAGTTGTAATGCCTGGGCTAAGTTGCCCTGAGGCGTGTGGGATTTTAGTTCCCCAACCAGGGATGGAACCTGAGTGCCCTGAACTGAAAGGCAGATTCTTAATCACTAGACCACCTTGGAAGTCCTAGGAAGAGCAGTTTCGCAGAGCTGACTTTTGGGCATGTTAATTTGAGGTAGCAATTGGGAGTGCAAGTAGAGTTCAGAGAGTTCTGGCCAAGGGATATAAATTTGTGTCATCAGCATATGCATACACACACACACACACACATAAATTTGTGTCATCAGCATATGCATATATACACACACACACATATAAATTTGTATCATCATCATATGCATACACACACACACACACACGCACGCACACCCACCCACCTATGAGGTAAAATGTGCTCACCAAAGGGTAAGTGGTGTAAATAGGAAAAGAGAAGCTGTCTGAAGGTGGTGGTAGAGATTATGGATTTTTATTCTGCCTGAGAAAAGAAGCTTTGAAGGATTTCTGAATAGAGATAGAACAACATGGTTTTTGTCTTGAAAAGATCAGCTGCTAAGTGAAACATAGAATGTAAAGGCAAAGGGTAGATGCATGGCGACCGTTTGGGAGGTCAGCTGTTGCAATTGACTAAGCTAGAGAGGTGAGTTGGACAAGGGTCATAACAGTGGAGGTGATGAGAAATGATCTAATTCTGGGTATATTTAAGAGTTGACAAGCTTTGCTTATTGGTTGGATTCAGGGTTTGGATGTTTAGCATTATATATTTCTATATTTGTATAAAATTTCTGTTGAAGGCTCTTTGTCAAGGATAGTGTATGTTTATTTTCTTTATTTTTTAAAACTTACTCGATAAACGAGTTAGAACTTTTAACAATTATTTTTATTTTGGCTGTGCTGGGTCTTCGTTACTACTCGAGCTTTACTCTAGTGGCAGAAAGTGGGGCTGTTCTCTCGTTGTGGTGCACAGGCTTCTCATTGCAGTGGTTTCTCTTGTGGAGCACAGGCTCTGGGGCTTGTGGGCTTTCCTAGTTGCGGCTCCCGGGCTCTAGAGCACTGGCTTAATAGTTGTGGCTCATGGGCTTAGTTGCTGCATGGCATGTTTGATCTTAGCAGAACAGGGATTGAACCCATGTCTCCTGCATTGGCACTCAGATTCTTTACCATTGAGCCACCAGGGAATCCCCTGTTTATTTTATTTTTAATTAACGTCCGCCCCCTCTGTTTTGTTTTTTTTTTTTTGGGGGGGCCATACTGCACAGCTTGTGGGATTTTAGGTCCCTGAACAGGGATTGAACCTGGGCTCTTGGTAGTGAGAGCTCAGAGTCCTAACCACTGGACCTCCAGGGAATTCACAAGTATAGTATAGGTTTAGATATCTATTGTTTGGATAAGGGGTATGGCTGTGTGTCAGGTAGCAATAAGTCATAAAATATTGGTGTGCCAGGCACACTGCTAGATACAATGCAGATGTAGGGATGAATGAGATGGATGCAGACTAAGTGAAAGAGTATGTTGAATAGAGCAGGCCTCCTTCAACATTCTGATAATCTGGGAATGGAGTAGGAATAAAAGTGTATAGACTCTTGGGTTAGAGTTCATTTGATGAGAATTTTTCAAAGTGATATGTCTGTAATACTTTAAATATACTTCTCACTAAAGGGCATAAAGATTTTGAAAATTCTAAAGAAAAATTAATGTTAATCAGACCTTTAATGATTTATTTATTTTTTTATTATTTATTTACTTATTAGGTCCAAACTAAATGACATGATAGATGCTATTCCAAAAAGTAAAAAGAACAAGAGATGTCAGTTGCACTCCTTAGATACGCACAAACCAAAACCTTTGGGGTAAGTAGAATTGATTATCAAGATACTTTGTTAGTGTTAAGATTATAAATGTTGGTCCTGTTTGGTAAAAAGAGAAGAAACAATGCTAGTTTTATTTCATTAATTGTTTACACTGTAAAATAGAACACCATATAATTGGTCAAAATAAATATGTCTCTTAGTTCTTTTTGCATTGGGTCTATATAGGGTCTCAGTATAAGTTTGACTTCTAAAAATTTTTTTCCCTTGTATTAAATATGTTTCAGAGGAGGGAGGTTGAGATCTTTGTGTAAATTTATGTAGCCAATATTAATTTTTTCAAACTAGTGGTATCATTCTTTAACCTATGCAACAGTTATAATGTATAAATTATTTTTCTTGTTTTTCTTGTCTTTAGGTCTCCCTAATAATTTATCAAGGATTTACAAAAAAACCCTTGAGTTAGTTAAAGCAATGTGAATTTATGTAACTAATTTGCAGCTTTCTTCTTGGTTAGGTGCTACAGTGCCCAAGGCTGTGCCCTTCTCCCAGCTCAGTCAAGTTTCCCCTTCAAAATTGCTTGGGGTTGGGGGTGGGTGGTAAGAAGTCATGGAATTTGAAGGGAGTTTCTAAGAAGTAACTTCTGGGGAGAATGGGATGATGTAAAACTGTGCTACTGAATTAATTTTAGAAGTTAGTGTTTTGAACATCTCGTTAGTATTGTTGACATTTTCCTCCCTGGTAAAAAGATCTGGATGACCAGGTGGTGGTATGTTAATAATCCCTTTCTCCCCCCATACTCAGAAACAAAAACTTTTTAAAACTTCCATCGTGAAGACTGTCAAACACATACAAAAGTAGAGAGATTATACAAGGACCCTGTTACCCGCAAATACCTTTACCCAGACTCTGTTGTTACCAGGATTTGCCATGTTTATTTCATTCGTTCACCTTTTCCTTTGCTGAAGTACTTTAAAGCAAGTCCCAGACATCATGTTATTTTATTACTACATTCATCTCTAATACAGTGACATGTTCTTTCATGACAGTGCCATTATAACACCTAACAAAAGCTTAACTACAATAATCTAATACCCAGTTCATATTCATGTTTCACCAACTCTCTCTGAAAGTGTCTTCTTACATTGATTTGTTAGAATCAAGATTTACTTAAGAATCACACATATGATTTCTAAATGTGAGAACTCTAAGCACAGTAAAGCTCTGTACAACTTCAGATGGTTATCTAAGGATAATTATTTCACATACCTGATTGACCAGTATCTTTAAAGAATACCTGACTCTCTGAGTGCAGAATTTAGTCTGATTTTCATTAGACAGTAGCCTTTATCAAAATAACCTGTTGACTAAAACCACAGAGTAGTATGATACAATACAAAGGCTGCCTTCTGTTTCTTGGTTATGAATGTTTGTCACTGAGGAGCTGAAAAGCAAGAGCTACCCCACCACCACCACCACCACCAGAAAGCTACCCCACATGGTAAACATGTGTGCTCATTGCTACCTTCCTACAAAGACCAGTCCTTCCACTTTTGCTCTGGATTCCACTGCTCTCTTGTTCTCCTTGACTTTGCTTCATCGATTATCTACTTTCATTAAATTGACACATAGCTGTGTCTGCCTATGTTTCAGCTTAGAAATAAAAAACAAACCTCTGCAGACTTCACATCCAGCTTCAGCTCTAGCCCCACCACATAGGAAGCCAAATATTTTGGAAGGTTGTTTGCCGAATTATGTAATCAGTGTGAGTGGAGTTAGTTGATCTTAAGCAACACCTCCTAAGGTAGTTTCAGTTACTCCCATGCCATGTGGATAGCTGGTCAGAGAATATAGTCTGCTTAGCCAAGACTTCTCCTCCACGTTGGATGGTCACCACCATTCTGCGCTACTATGACTTTTTGTATTTTTCCACTGTTGTTCCTCCCTTTCATTTTCTTCAGGGGAAGGTATAATACAGTTAATTAGGTTTTTGCCTAACCAATAGTAACAATCCAGTTCAGTCTTTCTTAGGGTATTCTCATATTCATACAAGCAAACCCAAGTTACTGTCGGGAATAAGTGTGTGGTCTGAAAGAAAGGTCGAGGCCCAGGTTGTAGGCCTGTAGCTGATGAGTGATGTACCACTGACTCTTGAGCAGCACAGGGCTTAGGAGTGCAGACCCTCCACACAACGGGAAATTTGAGTGTAACTCCTAGTTGGCAACTTCATATATTACACATGGTTCCTTCATGCCCTCATATTCAGTAACTGCAGATTGTGTAGTGCTGTGGTATTTACTATTGAAAAAATCCATGTGTAAGTTGACTGCGCAATTCAGCCTCGTGTTGTTCAGAGGTCAGCTGTATAAGATCACCTATAGGAGTAGTAGGGTGACAGAAAGGAATGCTGAGGACTTCAGTTTAATGGTAGGAAAGAATAAGTCTAAAGAAACCTGAGAGGGTGGCCGGAGAGGCAGGAGACCACGGGAAAAGTGTGTTTTGGGGGGCAGGGACTTGGACAGCTGTGTTGAAGGTTGCTGAGTTTTCAGGGACCTCAGAGTCCATTGGGTATAGCAACACCGAGATACTTGGTGATCTTGATGAGCAGATCTGTGGTTGAATGGATCAGAATCCAGATCAGAATGTGTAGGAAAATGCATGCGTTGCAGGGTTTTAATGGATTAAGCTGTCAGTGGAAAGTATGGAAGTAGAACAAAGAAGTGAAAAGACTTCCTTTTTCAGAAAGCTTGATCTTGACAGGAAGAAGTGGTATAAAGACATTTGGTTTGGAGAGATTACGGATAAAATCTTGATTTGAGTTACAGAATTTTCAAATCATTATAGAATAATGCTTTCATGTTCTGATGGTAGAATAGTCATTCCCCAGCCCTTTTCATCAATACTGAGAATTTGAGAGTTATGTGGATCACTCAAGCATAATTAGAAAATTGGGAATTTGGAAGATGAGAGTGGAAGGATGTAACATGCAAGGCAGAGCAGGAGTTGAGGTGTTTGCTTCAAAAACAAGGATTGTTCACCCTTTCTGAGCCCTTGTGAGATGGGACTAGGGAGCTGAATTGTATGTCTGACGTTATATGGTGGGCAGGGGGTTGAGAAGTACCTATTTAGCTATAAAGAGTAGGTTAAGTAAAGATTCAGAAGTGTTTCCATCTCAAGCATCCCAGGTAATGAATTTCTAGGACTAGTGAGACCTGCAGAAGAACAGGCAGGAGCCAGTTATTCAGAATCATGAAAAATCAAGAAGACTATCACTGAATGGAAAATAGAAACACATTTCTCTTGGAATGCACATCTGCAACAAAGCAAAATGCGTGACCAGCGCCACATTGAAACCTGTGGGGGAGGGAGAGTCTGGGAAGTTTTTAGTAAGTTTTTAAAAAATTATTTGTGTAGTACTACTAATGTAGGCTGTGTAAAGTGTTCATCTTAGTATGCTATCTTTATTTTCAAAAATGTAAAATTTTATTTCCTATAATTAGATTAATCTGTGACTTTCCCAGCTACTTGTAAATGTGAAGGTAGATAAGAATTTTGTTGCCATGGGCTAGCTATAAAATCACATTAAGTAGATCAACACTTGTTAGAATTTTCAATTTGTGGAAGGTTGATCCGTGTATAGAAGTGAAAATATTTTATAATTTTTTAGCCCTTTTGACTTTAACATTCCAAGTAGATTTGCTCATAAAATGCTTACTATATTAACCAGTTACTATCTTGATAAATGTAAGTGTTAAATTATTATCAAGTAAACGTAATAGTTGAGCACACATTTTTGTTTAAAGATATGAGCTCCTGTATAAGTAACATTTTAATACGGTTAAAGTAAATACGTAATTATATACAAATTTGCAAACTTACCCTACTAATATATCTTAATGTATTAAAGAGTTCATGATCTTAATTTAGACTATAGAAATGATTGCTTCAGATCATCTCAGTGTCACTAAGCTTTGTACTGTACTGTACTACAGTGAAGGGAGCAGTAGCAGTGTCAGTTCAGAGAAGTTAAGTACAGATAAGAGGAGTAGTGAAGACCGCAGGAAGGACAGCAAGTGTAGGATCATTTTCCATTATGGACCTTTCCAGGGAACAGCCAGGTAAAATCAAGCACCCTTTACTCAGCTTTTTAAAATGTTTTTCCATTATGTATTCCTCCATCTCACTAAGATTTGTTTCTTTCTGCAGGGGTTGTTGGATGGACGTATGGGAACTAATGTCCCAGGAATGCAGGGATGAAGTAGTTTTAATTGACTCTAGTTGTCTTTTAGAAACACTAGAAACGTATCTGCGAAAACACAGGTAAGTCCAAAGGTCATCATGATGTAGTGGGAAGATGCTTTAGGTGTCAGTCACCTTCTTCCTGTAATAGTACTCTGGCCTTGCCGTTAATACCTGACCCAGGCAGAGCTTGGTGTTAGGGCAGGAAGTTCCTTTATGGCGTGATGCTGAGTGTTGGCCTTCTTGTGTTTTACCTGTTGGTTCCAGGCCAGCCTTTCAAGGAACACAGAGTAACTGTGAATTGAATAAGGTGTACTTAATCACTGTGGAAATTCTTGTATTCCTTGTTTTTGATAGAAGTGTTTCATGATGTCATTTTCAAAATTAAAGTTAAAATAGCAGCTTTTATTAGTAATATTTGCAAATATTTTTTCTTTGTCAAGAGCTAAAAGTTGGGTTGGAATTCATGCGCATTGTGTACTATGAAAGTAACTTCAGATTTTTCTTTTTAGAATACTACTTTACAAAGAATTTTCTAAGTGTCATGAACATTTGCAAATTTGTAGGGAGGGAAAGTGCAGTAGGAAAGCAAACTGGTAAAGGAGCTATCTAGAGGTGGTGTTCTTGGGGGGAGTTGTACTGTTTTAATAAAAATTTGTCACATGTTGGGTTTGTGGTTATGTGTTCTTTGACTTTGGGACAGATATACACAGTTACTTTGGGGATGCTTCTAGAAAACACGTAAATTATGAAAACTGGCATTATCAAGGTTGGTGTTCATATGGCAATGAGCTAATGACTTAATCTGCATATTAAGTTTATTAAGTTTTTTTCTTTTTTCAATTACAGGCTTTCTTGTTTTTTGCCTTTTTGGTTGATTGTACCCAAAAGAATAGGGAATGTCAGTTATTTGGAGTTTGGGAAGGGGACTTTGTAAATGTAAAACATACAAATGTATAGGTCCGTCATAGATACCTTTCTTTTTCAATATGAATTGATCCTTATATTCAGTATGAATTGGTCCATCCAAAAGAGCTTTTTGGGGTGATAAATTACTAGTTATTAGAGCTAACGTTTTGGAATTTCCTACATTGGTTGTAGATATTTCCTGTGTTTGGGGGGCAGTATTTTATAAGAAACGTGGAGTCCATTTTATAAATATATTAAGAATGCAGGGGAAGAAGTATGATTAGAAGCAGTTAAGGAAGATTGCAGTGAATCTGGGTTCTACTGATTATAACTTGGTGAAGTTGATCAGTCGTGTCCGACTCTTTGCGACCCCTTGGACTGTAGTCTGCCAGGCTCCTCTGTCCATGGAACTTTCCAGGCAAGAGTACTAGAGTGGGTTGCCATTTCCTTCTCCTGTATAACTTTGTACAGGTTACTTTTCTGTGCTTCCGTGTTCTTCTTTTTTAAGACAAAATAATAGTAGTAGTCCTATAGAACTTATTAAAAGATTAAATTTGTTAGGATTGATGATACATAATAAGACTTACTTAGAACAGTATCTGGCACGTAGTAAGCACACCAGTGAATATCTGTATGCCAGATTTGCAAGTCCTTGTTATTCCTCTGTACCTAGTTCTTATTTTAGGTACAGTTTGTGTTTTTGAGATACAGTCAGTTGAAAATGATTTCTAAAGGTCTGAATAGTGGACCTTCTTGGCACATCTACTTTATTTAATAGATTTTTCTGAGCAGTGTATAATAAAGATTTTATCACACTATTTAGCCAGTTAAGTATTATAATAGTGCATTATTAGAAATTAGGTGTTAGAAACTCTGAAACCTCTGTCTTAAGAAACTCTTTTTTTTAAATTTGTGTACAAGGTTACTTTAGAAAACAGGGAAAGTCCCTTTCATTCTTATAGCTTCCGTATAAAATTTTAAATGACTGTTTGCTTATGTTTATGTTACTTTACGATCATGTACAGTCAAACATATTAAACTGAGGATTTAAAGCAGTAAGATATAGGGAAAATATTTCAAGTTTTATTATTGGTACTGTATGATATTTAACCATTTATTTACTCAAAAAATGTAGACTTACCATTTATAGCCTCAAAATGTGGAAGTATTTTTATTTCTGTATCTAAGACCATTTCTCCCACCAAGGGGAAGACTTTTTAAAAATTGTGATAAAAAATACATAACATGCATTTACCCTCTTAACAGTTTTTAAGTGTATAGTACAGTACTATTAACTATTTACTAGCTGTTATGCACTGGATCTCTAGAATTTTTTCATCTTGCATGACTGAAGCTAAACCCACTCATTGAATAAAAACTCTTCGTTTACCCCTCTGTGCACCTCCTGCCAACCACCATTCTGTTTTCTGTTTTAGTTCAGTTACTTTATATAACTCACATAAGTGGAATCATGCCACATTTGTCTTTTGTGTTTAGCTTATTTCACTTAGCATAATGTCCGCAAGGTTTGTCCGTGTTTTAACATAGGACAGAATTATCTCTTTTTAAGGATGAATAGTGTCCCATTGTGTGTATACACTGTGTCCATCTATCAGTGAACATTTAGCTCGTTCCTACATCTTGGCTTTTGTGAGTAATGCTGTAGTGAACATTGGTGTGTGCCAAAAACTCTTTGAGATCCCGTTTTTAATTCTTTTGTATATGTTCCCAGAATTGGGATTGCTGGATTATTTGGCAATTCTATTCTTAATTTTCTAAGGAAATGCTATACTATTTGCCATGCTGGCAGCCACTTTATAGTCTTGTCAAAAATGTTCAAGGAAGGGTTCCAGTTTCTCCAAACCCTTGCCAGCACTTGTTATTTTCTAATTTAAAAAATATATATATATATATATATATATATACACATTTGGTTATGCTGGGTCTTAGTTGATGCACTTGGGATCTTCAGTCTTCTTTGCAGCATTAGGGATCTTTAGTTGGAGCCTGTGAACTCTTAGTTGTGGCATGTGAAATCTAGTTCCCAAACCAGGGATTGAACCTGGGCCCCCCTGCATTGGGAGTGCAGAGTCTTAGCTGCTGAGCCACCAGGGAAATCTCTCTTTTCTAATTTTTATTAGTGGTCATGCAGTGGGCTTGAGGTGATTTTGTGTGGTTTTGATTAGCATTTCCCTGATGATTAGTGATGTTGAGCATTTTATCATGTTCTTACTAGCCTATCTTCTTTGAAGTGTCTATTCATGTCCTTTGTCCATTTTTTAATAATATTCTTTTTTTTGTCTGTTATTGAATTGTGAGAGTTCTTTATTGTGGACATTAACCCTGTATCCAGTGTATGGTTTGTAAATACTTTCTCTGTTCCATAGGTTGTCCTTCACTCTGTCGTTTACTGCACAGAAGTTCTTAGGTTTGATGTAGTCTCATTTGTCTATTTTTTCTTTTGTTCCTTGTGCTTTTGATTCCATATGCAAGAAGTCATCACCTATTCCATTGTTACATGTTCTCCTATCACAGTTTTACAGTTTCAGGTCTTAATATTTAGGTCTTTAACACATTTTGAGTTAATTTTTGTGTATTCCTGTGTCTGTTTTTTAACCGTTAGTGAAATAGTGATTTAACTTTACTTGCCAACATGATTGCTTCTGTTTACAAAGTGGGCTTAGAGCTTCTGTTTTAACAAATATTCATTTCAAGAAACAGAGTTATCTGCTATTGGGTCAAAAAGATGTGTATAACAAACTAATTGCATGACATTGTAAGGGTAAATGCTATAATGATAAGTATAAGTCGGAGATAATAGGAATACAGGAAGGTTGAATTCTAGTTAATGGAAATTGCAAGAGGCTTTTTTAAGGATGGGTATGATTTAGGCAAATGGAGAAGGATGTGGAGGAGAGTGGGGAGGAGGCAGAAGGAAAAAAAGACTTTGTAGTAGGGACGCATCAGCTGCATACAAAGTAGTCCATTGTACATAGAAGCAACCGAAATGTTTGTTGATAGATGAGTGGATTAAGATGGTGTGTGTGCCCACGCATGTACACGGTGGAATACGACTCAGCCAGGAAAAAGAGTGACACCATGCCGTTTGCAGCAGCTTGGACGGACCTGGAGATGGCCGTATTGTGTGCCTGGTTGCTCGGTTCTGTCTGACTCTCTGTGGCTCCCTGGACTGCAGCCTGCCAGGCTCCTCTGTCCATGGAATTTTCTAGGCAAAAATACCGAAGTGGGTTACCATTTTCTTCCTCCACGGGATCTTCCCAACCCGGGGATCAAACCTGCGTCTCTTGTGTCTCCTGCATTAGCAGGTGGATTCTTCACCACAGAGCCACCTGGGAAACCCCAGAGATTATCATATTAAGTGAAGTAAATCACAAAGGCAAATTCCATATGGTACCACTTACATGTGGAATCTAAGATATGATACAAATCAACTTACTTACAAAACAGAAACGGACTCACAGACATAGAAAACACACTTATGGTTACCAGAGGGGGAAGAAAATAGGGGAGGGATGAATTAGGAGTTTGGGATTAGCAGGTACACACACTGCTGTGTATAAAATAGATAAACAACAAGATCCTACTGTATAAATCGCACAGGAACTGTATTCAATATTCTGTAACAAACCATTATGGAAAAGAATATGGAAAAGAACCTGTGTGTGTGTGTGTGTATCTGAATCACTGTGGTATACACCAGAAACTAACACAGCCTTGTACATCAGCTATACTTCAGTTAAAGAGAAACGAAAGTCGTCCGTTTGCACATATATATTGTGTGTGGAGGGGCAGGGCAGTGCAGAGGGACCCTGAAGGGACAGGTGAGTCTTGGGGAGAAGTCTGGGAATAGTAGGTTGGGTAAGAGAAGAAAGCACCAGAGGCCTTAACGAGTTTGAACTTTATTTGTAGATAGTGGGGAGGTTTTTAAGCTGAGAGTGAAGTAATGAGATGTTTTAAAAAATTATTTTGGTATGAGAGATGCATTAGCTCTAGTAAGAGTGGAAGCAGGGACACCTATTAGGAAGCTCGGCAATTTAAAACAGGGCAGAGTGAGTTGAGAAGTAACCTTCCTCAGTGTAAGAAAGAATTGATACCAATTGGCTCCACCCCTAAAAGCAGGAGTTGGAATTAACTGAGGAGGAGTTGGAATTAACTGAGGTTCCATCCTGGGTGACTGTGTGAATGGTGATTTCTTAACACCTATGGAAGAGAACATAGGAAGGGAACCATGTTGCCCTTGGTTTTGCACATCTGTGTTGTCCGCATTTTTCAGCATGGGTCTGGCCTTCCTTGAGCGGAGCTGTGGAGGTGACATGTTGATGGGAATTGCTCTGGGAGTAGATAAGCTCACCTGGATAGATGAGTTTAAATCACAGAAAGCAAAATTTCCTCATTCCCTCACAGTTGACCTTCTCAGAGAGTCAATTACTAATACTGTGAGCCTGGCTTTTTCACCTGACCGAATTCTTCCTTATTTTAGGAATTCAAAAATAGAAAGACCAGACTCTATTTTTTCTTTTCTGATTGAATGATGTTTAGTTTCTAGAAGGAAATGTTGTCGTCCTTCTACTTCACATGCTCTTCTGCACTTTTATCACATTATGTACACTTAAGTTGAAACCACATTTCTGCATATATGTTGTATATATTATTTATGTGTGTGTTGAGAAACATACTTTTTTTTTTTTTGGTGGAGGGAAGAATTTGACATTTTGGAAATCACCAGTAAACTAAAAATACATGTACCACTTTCCCATTCTTCTTGCCTTCCCCACGCTACATATTAATACTTAGCTGCTGCTGCTAAGTCGCTTCAGTTGTGTCCGACTCTGTGCGACCCCATAGGCGGCAGCCCACCAGGCTCCCCTGTCCCTGGGATTCTCCAGGCAAGAACACTGGAGTGGGTTGCCATTTCCTTCTCCAGTGCATGAAAGTGAAAAGTGAAAGTGAAGTCGCTTAGTTGTGTCCGACTCTTAGCGACCTCATGGACTACAGCCCAACAGGCTCCTCCGTCCATGGAATTTTCCAGGCAGGAGTACTGGAGTGGGTTGCCATTGCCTTCTCCAAGAATACTTAGCTAGTGATGTATTTATTAAAATGTAAACATTTGAATCAAGGTTTACTGGTTGAAGATACCAACTATTTTCAGAGGCTGAAAGGAGAGGGATCCTGGAGCCACTGGTTGGTAGCCTCTGTTGTTTCATGTCTGACCTGCATAGATAGCTTGTGAAGACATGTAGTCCTCGGTAACTAGTATCTTCTGGGCATGTGTTTTATGAACTAACAGGTATTTATCTGCTTCATTCTTTTAGGCCCATGTGTTTCTCTAGTTTAATAATCATTTGCAAGTGGAGAACTAGCTATAGCTTTGTAATCCTTAAATGTGTATTTACTTTATATGTGTGTGACTTCAGTGTGTGGAGGCTTTTTTTTTAATGCTCTGTATAGGAAGGGAGTGTCATTGTCTAGTACACTATTAAATACCTCATGAAATAATTACACCGCCAGTTGTTAATTTTGAAATTTTTCTTTTCAACAGGTTTTGTACTGATTGCAAAAATAAAGTCCTGCGAGCCTATAATATCCTTATTGGTGAGCTTGATTGCAGCAAAGAGAAGGGCTACTGTGCTGCACTTTATGAAGGCTTGCGGTGCTGTCCACACGAGCGACACATTCATGTTTGCTGTGAGACAGACTTCATTGCACATCTTCTGGGTCGTGCTGAGCCAGAGTTCGCAGGAGGGTATGAGTATGTAATTTGCTAGAATGGGCTATCTAGCGCTTTGCTTCATTTTATCCTTCTGCCTCAGTACATATGTGTGTAAATTAAAGTGTGCCTGTACAGATTTTGCTTTCTTTTAAATATGCATTTAGTTGAGTAAAAAAAGGGAGAAAGTATTGATCCATTGTCTGCTCATTGTTGCTTGAAATAGGAAGGCTTTTTGTGGCTTTCATTACTATAGCTTATCATTTTCACTTGAAAATGATTAGAAGAGATTTTCTTCCTCCCCTTCATCCATGCATTTCCATGTTTAAATTTTGTTTATAATGATGGTTTTTGCATAGGAAATGAGATCTTTGCAACAGGAGTTTAAGAAATACTTGACTGAATGTAATTCATGAACTGTGGATGTTATTATTAAATTACAAAGGAACCTAAAATTTTATCTCTGGCTTTGTTGTAAAAGTCAGGAAAAATTGTTCCCAGAATACATCGAACCCATTCCCCCTCTGTTTTGTGTATTAGTTGTCACTTGAGTGCGTATTTTTTGCTAGGCATTTAGAATACAAACACCACTTCTGTCACTGACGTTTGTCATCGTTTCTAGTAAAGACTAGCCTAGAGGGCTTTTGCCTAGGATTGAATCACTTGGCATTGTCTTCCTCCGTCCCCCATCAAAAAGAACAAAAACCAAGTAGGCGTTTGTTATCATTGGAAGATGAACTGTCATGCCTGCCATGAGCTGGACACTTAAATATGTGACCTCTCTGTGCCCCCAAAAACATCTCTTTAGGGCCAGTTCCTGAATTACCTTCTCTTTAGCAATATTAGAACTAAGTTCTACCTGCATGTGTATTTTGCATTGGTAATATACATGTGTACTTGTGTATTTATATATATGTTGAGTTTGAATGTATAAACATCTTGATATTAGTTTGTTTACTAGATATGCAGATTATGGTTAAAACCTGAACCTGCAGAGAGGTGTTATCGATGTCTTAATGTTTCAGCTTAAGAGTTGTAGGAAACATGTGTGATTTATTCTCCTTTATAGGAGAAGAGAAAGGCATGCTAAGACAATAGATATAGCTCAAGAAGAAGTTCTGACCTGCTTGGGAATTCATCTTTATGAAAGACTGCATCGAATCTGGCAAAAGCTACGGGCAGAAGAGCAGACATGGCAGATGCTTTTCTATCTTGGTGTTGATGCTTTACGCAAGAGTTTTGAGGTAAGAACAGTGGACTGCTTCAGTGTCTGGACTGCTTAGTTATTAGATGGAATCTTTCCATTTTTGTTGATTGTACCGGGTCTCCTTGCTACACACGGGCTTTTCTCTCCAGTTGTGGAGAGCGGGGCTGACTGCGTGTGGCCTTCTCACCGCAGAGCACAGGCTCTCGGCGCGCGGGCCTCAGGAGTTGCAGCCCGCAGGGTCAGTGGTTGGGCCTCTGGGTCTCTAGAGCGCGGGCTCAGTAGTTGTGCTGCATGGGCTTATCTGCCTCGCCGCGTTTGGAATCTTCCCGGACCAGGGATCAAACCCTTGTCCAGTGCATTAGCAGGCAGATCCTTATCCACTGGACCACCATGGAAGTTGTGAACTGTGGACTGAATCTTAATGTTAATCACTGCTCTCACCGTGCCTTAGAACTGTGATCCACTGGTCAAAGTTTGTGGATTTTTCTTTGTTTTTTAAACCTGTCACACTGCCAGCCTTGATTTTTAGATATTTTCAGAGTAGAGAACTGAAATTAATGATTATTTAATGAGAAGCTGCTATAAAACATAACTATTGACAAGTTAAAAGCAGCCCAAAAATAAGCATAAAAATTAGAAACATTTAATGAGTCCCAGTTTGCCTGCTTCTTTCCAATAGTATGAAGTAAATGCTGTCTGAATGCCATGATGTGAGAGCTACTTTTTAGAAGCACACTGAAGGCTCTTCATAATGCTGGTATTGGGTTTTGTGCTTGTGATTTAGTAATGTCTTTTTTCAGTTATGCTCTGTAGAATATAAATTTTTGGCTAGTGAATATTCTGTTATGTTCTAGGGCATGGTCATAACTGTTTAACTGGTCACCTGTCCCTTTTGAGAATGGTATGAGGTCTATAAACTTTTTCAAAAGTCCATCCTTGGACTTTAAACATTGTTCTGGGGAGTCTGAAATGTGTGTTTGTTCTTGTCGAAAAGATTTCTTATTCCTTTTTTTCTCTTTGTATATTTATGTCTTCAGAAACTAGATCATTTAATCAGGTTAAATAGTGTTCTCATTGTATGAAGAAATAGGATGAATGTTTACTTTACTTTGTTAAAATTCTGAAATTTGAAACTAGAATATTTCTGGATTGAAACTGGAGTATGTGTAAGTCTCCCTTTCCCATAGGAGTTAGTTGTACATTCATTTCCTGTAATTTTAAGACTGTCATCATTTAAGGTATTAAAATTTAAAATTCTTTTTGAGGACTGCTGGACAAAATTGCAGTTTGAAATGCTAGTTTCTGTGTGTCTGATATCATTTAAAATTAACAAGTGAGAATTTCCTTGGAGAGGGAAGTTTGAGCCAGTATTCAGTCTCAGCTTTGTTTTTATAATAGATGACTGTGGAAAAAGTACAGGGTATTAGTCGATTGGAACAACTTTGTGAAGAATTTTCAGAAGAGGAACGAGTAAGAGAACTCAAACAAGAAAAGAAGCGCCAGAAACGGAAGAATAGACGAAAAAACAAATGTGTATGTGATATCCCTACTCCCTTACAAACAGCAGATGAAAAGGAAGTAAGCCAAGAGAAGGTAGTATTTTTTGATATTGACTTGACAATATATGGCTTTTTTTCTCGATTGCAGCACTTTCACTGTGCTTTCTCAGAACCTGGGTTCCTCTGGCTTGTATGTTGGCTTTTTTTCTTACAGTAGTCTGTATAATAATCTCTTTAATGTCATTTATTTTATAAAGGCAATGTTCAGTAATTAGTAGTATCTTACTACCTGACCTTAGTATTCTGTTAGATCAAAGCCCAAATGTGAAAAGTTATCTCCATGCATGACCTAGAGCAGTTCTCAACTTTTGGTCTCAGGGTCACTTTGCATTCTTAAAAATTAGGGTGCCCCGTGAGCTTTTGTTTATGTGAATTATACGTATCAGCATTTATTGTATTAGAAATTAAAGTGGAGAAATTTAAAGTTATTTGTTAATTCTATTAAAAATAATAAGCCTATTAAATGTTAACATGAATAACATATTTTGAAAAAGAATTGCTTTCTAGGAAAATTTGAGAAGGGTGGCTTTATTTTATATTTTTACAAATCTCTTTAATATTTGGCTTAAGGAATCAGATAGATTCTCATTATCTGCTTCTGCATTCAGTCTGTTTGCATATGTTGCTTGGTTAAAGCATATGAATAAAGTCTGACTTCACTCATATAGTAGGAAAAGGGGAGAGGAATATTTTAATATAAACCTTTTTAGATAGTTGTAGATATTCTTCTTTGGCATTGTAACTTGACAGGTGGTAATTTCATAAAGATTTTCTATAGTGTGGAACCTGACACCTTAAAGTGACCTTTCATACTTTTAAATTAAAATCCATTAGCACTTTGAATAGATTTTATTCATGCATTATTCTATTACATCATGCACTGGTCATTTGAAAACATAATGGTTCACTGAGTTATGCACGTCTCCCCAGATATTGACATTTCATTACATAGTATCAGACAGTCATGTTAAAACCACTGTTCATCCCATTAGAAAGGTCTTGAGCTTCAATCTCATTGTGCTTGTATGTACAAGTTTTCAAAATTCTAATTGTAGTTTGAAAGTTTAAATTTTATCAGTGACAACAAATACTGTCTTTTTTTCTTTTAAGAGCTGGACTGACTTCATTTATTTTTGAGAAAATGTCTTAAATATTCAAGTCTGAATAACCATAGTTTGTCTCTTATCCTCTCTTTTAAGTGAAGTTGGTGTTCTAGCTAGTTTAGAACTAGCTAGTTTGAGTTTGCAACTTAAACTATTGCACAAGTACTTCTTGAGACAGTCATACATTGGTATCCATCAAAAATGCTTTAAGCATTCTTCTCATTTCTCACAGACTAATAAAAAGACCTCTACTTCATGAGTTGGTATTTAATAAAATGAATATTTTTAGTGCTGCATGAAAGACATTTATAAGTGAAATATCCTTTTATCTCTGTTTATTTCCGATGAGAATGCTTGACAAGTGAAGAATACAGAGACTGTTGGTACACACTTTGGTTGCTTCTGTCTTGGTTTGTGCTAAAGCACCAGCAGCTTTTCCCACCACTGCTTTTATACCATCAGTGTAAGTGTCAAGACAATGAAAAAGGCAAATCACATCTTAGTGTTAGGATGAAAATGGTTTTGACCTAGGGATCCCCTGGAGCCAGCAGACCAGACTTTTGAGAACAGTTGTCCTAGACTTTCCTGATACCATTAAGGTCTTGACTTGGTTCTAGTTGGTTCCTGGTTTTTAAATGAATTAATGATCTTCATGAAAATAGTTTTTTTTTTTCTTTAATTTTTATCGTTATCTAATTAGTTAATGTTGAGGAAATTAAAATATAGCCATTATGGAGGTAAAGATTTTTACTGTCTCTTAATATTGATCCTTAAAGGAAACAGACTTCATAGAAAACAGCTGCAAAGCCTGTGGCAGCACTGAAGATGGTAATAGTTGTGTAGAAGTAATTGTTACCAATGAAAGTACATCCTGTACCTGTCCTAGCAGTGGCAATCTTTTGGGGTCCCCTAAAATAAAGAAAGGTAAGTAAATAGTTTAAAAAATATTAACTCTTAAGTTTATTCTTTCTTTCTTTTAAGTATAAGAGCTTTTAGAGAGCCTGTAACCTAGAGGTTAGGAACTGCTTTATAGACCCAAGAATACCGTATAATGTAGTCAAACACTTACAGTGTTTGGTTTGTTAAACAATAATAAAATAAAAAAATGTAAGTCTCCAGTCATATTTTCATTGTTTAATGTACTTTTTACTTTCAGTAAGCCATCAGTTTTGAAATTTTGATGTAGTCCCCATTTGGGTTATCCTTTGTCTCGGTATTTTCATTGGCATGTCAATAGCAACTCGGTTGGTTTGTTCTCAGGCTTGTCGCCACACTGTAATGGCAGTGACTGTGGATACTCATCTAGCATGGAAGGGAGTGAGACAGGCTCTCGGGAGGGCTCAGATGTCGCCTGCACGGAAGGCATTTGTAATCATGACGAGCACGGTAGGTTCAGATCAAGCTTCCCAATTATTTCTGCTACATGGCTGAGTTAAGCACATAAATAAGAAACTACTGATTTCTGCAGGTGATGACTCCTGTGTTCATCACTGTGAAGACAAAGAGGATGATGGCGATAGTTGTGTTGAATGTTGGGCAAATTCTGAAGAGAACACCACCAAAGGAAAAAATAAAAAGAAGAAAAAGAAAAGCAAGATGTTGAAATGTGATGAACATGTAAGTGTCATAAAGTGTCATTCTTAAACTTTGGCCCTTTTCCTTGGAGTGGCTTAGTCACTACACACCTTAGTCACTAGGCCTTTTTTTTTTTTAGAATGAATACCTATGCAGTTCCATTGGTTGCTCATCTTGTGATTTTTATAGGCATGTGTGTCTGATGTGTGGTCATTTGTCCAACAGTCCGTGTGAGACATAAATCCAGTTCACTTTTTCACAGTAGTTTTTAATCTGTTATCTCTGTAATCTTGAGCAGTTTGCTTGAATTGTTTTCCCTGCTGTAAAGTGGAGATAATAGTGTCAGATCAGATTCTGTGAAGATGAAATGAGATTATATTGATGGGTTAGCGTAGTGTTTGTGTATGCATGCTCAGTTGGGTCTGACTTTTTGTGACCCCCCTGGACTGTAGCCCACCAGGCTCCTCTGTTAATGGAATTTTCCGAGCAAGAGTACTGGAGTGGGTTGGCATTTTCTACTCCAGGGGCTCTTCCCCACGGAAGGATCGAACCCTTTTCTCTCGTGTTTCTTGTGTTGGCTGGCAGATTCTTTACCACTGAGCCACCTGGAAGCAGAGTGTTAGCTGCGCAGTAAGTGCCGAGTAACTGCCAGGTGCTGCTGCTGTTCCTGGTAAGATCTAACGTACTCTCAGGGCATTTATTTTTCTTTAAACAATAATCATTGCTATTATGCTCTGCCTCTTGGGGCTTCCTTGGCTCAGTGGTAAAGAACCTGCCTGCCAAACAGGAGACTCGGGTTCGATCCCTGGATTAGGAAGATTCCCCTGGAGAATCTTCAGGAAATGGCAGCCTGCTCCAGTATTCTTGTCTGGGAAATCCCATGGACAGAGCTAGCCTGGCTGGCTACAGTCCATGGGGGCGCAAAGAGTCAGACACGACTTGGCAACTAAACAACCACCACCTGCCTTTTTACCTGAGAGATACTTTTGCTGTGGTTTCAGATCCAAAAGCTTGGAAGCTGTATCACAGATCCAGGTAATCGAGAGACCTCAGGAAATACCGTGCACACAGTGTTTCACCGTGACAAGACCAAAGATGCACATCCTGAAAGCTGTTGCAGCTCTGAAAAGGGTGGGCAGCCACTGCCTTGGTTTGAGCATAGGAAAAATGTACCACAGTTTGCAGAACCTACAGAAACATCGTTTGGTCCTGATTCTGGAAAAGGTGCCAAGAGCTTAGTTGAACTCCTTGTAAGTAAGCCATGATATCTTTTTGTGGATAACTGATTGCTCATGGGGTAGATGTGGGAGGAGACAGTATTTGAGGGTTTAACATTGGGAATGGGAGGAGGCTTTTAAGCAGTATCTCATTATTTTTTTGGTGACTGCATTCCTGCTCTTCCACCATGTAACTGTTCTGGAGCACATTTCCTGTCTTCCCTTGTCTCAAAGGTAGAAGAGACTAGTTGGGAGAGGCACAGAGAGTTAGCATCAAGTCCAAGAGTCTGACTCCTTGGTGGGGGTAATTATAAGCAAGCTGCCTTTCTGAGTGGTAATTAATGGTAGCTAACCTTCCAGACCAGGAAAGTATATAGAATCTGAACTAGAGCCCATTTTCTGGATTACTTCCTTCATGTAACCTTCATGTCATATAGGATAAAAGCATAACTGAACTTGGGGCATCTTGTATAATTGATTTGCAGTCTTTATACTTTAGATGAATTATACCAAGCAACGTGGGGCATAGTTTGTGTGGAATTTGGGGGGGGGGGCAAGGAAAGAAAAGGGTGGCATCTTTTCTATAGTCATTATAGGATTCCAAGGGAAACAGATCCTTTAGAATAGTAGCTTTTTTCTTTTTTATATAGTTGTAAAGTTTATTGGTGATACTGTATATTCATAAGTTTTTAAAAGGTTATATTTTACCTAACTTGTGGAGATAAATAGAGCCAGCCAGAGAAAAGTCAAATTATTTAAAATTTGGTAGCTATTTATAACCATCTCTAATCACTTTTAAAGGCTAAGGTGTGTTAGTAGTCTGCTTGTAGGCTTCTAGGACAAATTATAGATCGAGTTTTAAATCAAGTTGAGTTGCATTTTATTCTTACTTAGTACTTTCCAAGACAGAATGACATTTTGCTTATCCTGTAAACATTCTATTTAAAGGCTTTATGTGACTGAATTAAAACTAAAAACTAGCCTGCTTTAACTTTTAGCTGTCTTCTATTAGCATAGCATTTTGCATTCTTCATTTAAGTCATAGTCTTAACTACTGCTTTAATTTGCAGGATGAGTCTGAATGTACTTCAGATGAGGAAATCTTTATCTCACAAGATGAAATACAGTCATTTATGGCTAATAACCAGTCTTTCTACAGCAATAGAGAACAATACCGACAGCATCTGAAGGAGAAATTTAATAAATACTGCCGCTTAAATGATCACAAGAGGCCCATTTGTAGTGGCTGGTTGACAACGGCTGGAGCAAATTAAATAAATAAAATAGCTCTGTCTTTCAATGAAACACTCAAGATGACTACTGCGCCTTCTCTTTCAGAAAAACTCTTTAATTTTAGTGACTTATGGCAAAATTTTATCTTAAATCAATGTGATTCTTTCTTGTTTTGGGAGACGGTGGAGGTAACCTCATTAGTTTGTTCTTTCTTCAGGCTTGTGTCTTTAGTTGTGTGGCTGCGCAGGCCTGCCATATGATTTAAGCCATCTCTTTTCATTAAATGTTTCTCTTCCTGTGAGACTTACTAAAAAGCAACTTAGTGGCAAAAAGTAATGTTGTACTTATACTTCTGTACAGAAATGACAATGAGCTGAATATATGGTTTTACAAAGTAGACATCCACTTGCGAAATGTTTGGATGTAATGTTAAAGCGCAATGTGCAAAATTTAAAATAAAGAATATTTATTAATACGCATAGTAAAATTTGGTGTACATGTTTCTACTTAATGTGTGGCAGTATTTTAATTAGCCACCTGTGGTCTTGTTACTTGACCAGTGATGATGTTAGGATGAAGAGCAAATGAGGAGAGAGATACAGGTTGTTGAAGACAAAAATTCTTCCCTTCTTCAGAGTTCACAGCTGAGAAAAGCAGATTCCAGTCTTTTGTTCTGAAAGAATAACTTTGCTGCGATACCTTTAAATACTGACTAGCATCCTATTTCCTTGTGAGATTTTTAACTGCTGTTATTTATAATGCTCCCCGATAACATTAACAAAGCACCTTAAATTCAGAGGTTCAGATTGAACTAGAAGAGTAAAAGCAAAACTTGGCAGAATTTCAACCAGGGGTTGCCTGGTCAGTAGTTACTCAGCACGAAGAGAACTGGGAGCAGAAGGCTACCCTGAGAGCTGACCACACTGCGGTCTGTGTGTCTGTTCCTTATCTGGTTTCCAACAATAAAGTCACTCTGGCTTTACACTTCACTGTTTTCACAAGCTGTCTGTGAGTACTGAAGGTGAGATTCCCCTGGGAGTAGCATTTGGCTGCCATTTAAATGGTTGAGTCAATAGTTCAGTAAAATCATGTGCTTAGAGCTTTGTGTCTACATGCAGATAATACTTGGTGGGCAGCAGACAAATGGTGGGATGGTCAGTACCTCTCTGCAGTGGGGGTGGAGTGAAACTTGTGAATTTTCTACCACTTAATCAGATTTCTAATCAGATTTCAAGTGGGCAACAGCAGAAGCTTAGTGAGATTTTAACTTTTGTAGTTGGTATTTTTTTGAGCCACCCCCTGAGTTGTCTTTTCAAATCAAAGTGTTGTACAGGGACTGAGGCAGAGATAAAATGAGTAATTCCTTTCTGACCCTTGTCTGCTTTCATCCTGGAATCCATAAAAAAATGACTAGTAAGAGTTCTCCCACAGCCCTTGGCTCTGAGCCCAATCCTCTTTTCACCACCTGTTGCAGCGAAGTTTTCTCCTGAGATTCCTAAATTAAGCAAGGGCTGGTTTTGTTTTAATCTTTGCCCTTGGAGCAACACAGGAGTGCTTGCTGAGTGAGTACACCAGCCACATTCATGGCTTATTCCGTTGGTTCAGTGGTGGGGTTCCAGCAGAGATGTTTTCTCTTTGAAAGGCTGGCTATATAAAGAATGCAGAAGTGAGGCAGTATTCAGTGTTTTGATGGAATATCCTTAGTGGTCAGCAGAGTGACTTCTACCTTGAGCAGAACCAACAACCTAAGGAGAGACAAGGGAGGACACAGTGAAGGCTGTTTCAGAACACATACCCTGGCCTAATACTGGACTGCTTGCCATCCAAGCCAGGCTCCTCATCTGTCTCGATATATCCTATAAAATGACTGTTAATAGGTTCTATCTCATAGGGCTCTTGTGCACATTAATATATTTGAGGTGCTTAAAATATATTTTACTATGCCCGTCACAGCAGGCGCTCAATAAATGTTAGCTATTGCTTTAGTATTTCGCGTACACCGTGGTATATATTTGCTCCAGTAGGAGTAGGGGGGCTTAGCGAAGTTGTAGACTGTAGGTCATTAGGGATACAATCCCCTCCACCCCAATACACGTGTACTTGGGAGTGTTTGTATTTTTAACCATGAGTTCTCCAAGGTTAGAAACGCCAAGAGATCAGGCAGGGTTGAAAGCCCGTCCCAAGGTCACCCAGCGTTGACCGCTGAGACGCTCAACCTTCTCTGAGCTGAACCGTTCCCATCAGCCACCGGCTGGTTGAGGAAGGCGGTAGCGTCACCTTAAGTGCCCCGTAATTTCTCTTCCTGGCCTTTGGGTCAGGATAGGCAAGGCGGACAGAGCAAGAGGCGAGTACGCGAGTCCTCAGGCCTGGTGCGAGTCCGCGCCGAGCCTCGTTCTCCAAGGCTAAGAGCTCACAGCAGGGAAGCTGAACTACCAACTCCCGGGACCCTTCCGCCCAGTCCCGCGAGAAGCGGTTTCCTCTGGGCGGGGACAAGGCGAGGGCCGGAAGGGGCGGGGCGGGGACCAGGCGAGGGCCGGAAGGGGCGGGGCAGTGCTTGAGGGGACGGGGCGGGGTCGGGGACAGGGCGAGGGCCGGATGGGGCGGGGCCGTGCCCGCGCGGCAGGGGCGGGGCGGGGCGGGGCCGCCGGCCAGCATCGTCCTCCAGCCGGGATGTGGCCGATCGCCGAGGAGCGGAGGGTGGAGCAGGGGGCGGAGGCCGGCCAGAGTGGAGGCAGGTCCTGGCGTACCTCTGACGCGGGCAGGTCGACGGCAGGCGCCGCGGGGGTGACAAGAGAGCGGCCGGCCCCCTATGACCTAGGGCGGAGCTCGGCGATCCAAGTGCTCTGCTCCCAGAGCGAAGTGGGCGGGCGACTCGGGACCCTGGCCAGAGCCGGCATGGAGCGGTGGCGTGACCGGCTGGCACTGGTGACGGGAGCCTCGGGGGGCATCGGCGCGGCCGTGGCCCGGGCCCTGGTCCAGCAGGGTCTGAAGGTGGTGGGTTGTGCCCGCACCGTGGGCAACATCGAGGTAAGGCCCTGCTGGGGAGCGAGTGGCTCCGGGTGGCGTCGTTTCCGCCGGGCTTGGGTCCAGGTGGGGGATGGGGAGCGGTCGGAGCCAAGGTGTCACGCTGCCCTCTTGCCCGCCACCCCAGGGCCACTTGCAGCGGGCTCAGGGGCCAGAGAGGTGGACGCCTAGTTGGTGGAGGAGGCTTTTGGATCCCTCAGGGCAGGACTCGATCTTTGCTTTTTAAAGTCTTGTCCGTTAGGGAGCTTTTTTCCTGACAGCCTCTGCTCTAGTATACCAATTCTCTGAGTCCCTGGCATCTTTTCTCTTGCTTCCCTACCTGCCTGCTCAGGTTGGCTGAGAAAAGGAGAAGCCAGGGAAAAGGGAAGAAAGCTTTCTGGCCTCAGTGGCTAAGCTGGCTACTGGATTGCTTCCTCTGGTTCCCAGACCTAGCCCACAAAGTCAAACAAAGCGAGCAGGAGCTAGAGGACTTGATCCTGCTCATTTTTCACCCAGGACTGAGAGTGGGGTTGGAGTGGGAGTGGAGCTTTTCTGAAAAGGCTCAGCTCCACCTTCCCCTGAAGGTGAGGGTTAACCCCTCCTCGATGGACATGAGGGACAATTGGGACGTATATATAAAGTAGACCTTTTTTTCAGTTTCACTGTCACAGGTGGGAATGAGCAGGTAAACTAGGGCATTGAACCTGTGCGCTCTGGGGGACAAAGCAATGTGGAACTGAACCCCTTGGTTTTTCTCTTAATGTGGGTTGGGAGCCCCAAGGGTTGTGAGCAACAAGAGCTCAGAGAAAAAGGAAATGAAGTTGGCTGTGTTGGAGCAGGGAGGAAGAAGGATGAGCAGTTTCCATCTTAGGAGCACTTTGGATTTACCCCTGGCAGGACCCCCCATCAGGGTTTAGGCTGGTGCTGAGCTTGACCTCCACCCTTGCTCAAAGTCCCCGGGGCAGGGAGAGGGCGAGGAGGCCTTGGGTGGGGCCGAGCAGGAAGGTACCGGAGGGAGGCCTGTCCCCTCCCCTGCTGCCGACCAAAGGTACGCTTTATGGCTCCTAGATGGTCCCAAGGTCACCTGGCTATACCCTTGCCCCACACTGCCCCTCCCTTTCTCCTATTCTGAGGTGCCCAGGGCCTGCCTCCACTCCGGAGCCTAGAGGATCAGACCAGGGATTAGGCCACTTGATTCTCTGATTCTAAAGCCACTCTTGCCTTCTCTTCCTGCTCCCACCCCCACCACAAACCAGCCAGGAAAATGGTCCCTGAACCCTGAGGAGAGCCCCCGACTGGTCACTCGCCCCCCAGGAGGACTCCTTTAATGAGGAGGGATGGCTCAGCTGTGAGGGGACTGACAGGATTTCAGGTCCTTTTTGAGGCTAGATGCGGACAGGTAGGGCAACGAGAAGACAGCGACAGAGACATGTATTATCTGTCCCTCCATTGTGGCTTTGCTGCAGGGCTTTGAGTCTGGAGGAGGAATGAAGTTGTGTGCCAGGAGAGGGAAGAATTCCAGGCTGTTTTGCCTACCATCTGCTTTTCTTGATTGGTTGATGGATTCATTCATTGATACTCAAACAGAATTTGATTTCCGATCTCCTACAATGAGAAGCCCTGTTTCCCGAGGGGGTCGTTGAGTAGGTGAAATTGGGGGAAGGGGGACTTCTGAGTCCCAGAGGACTGTACCGCTTAAACTCATGGAAAGCTAAAGCAGAAAAGAATTTCCTAGGTCACCTGACCGAGTCCTTGATTCCCAGCTTGGTTTAGGGGTAGGATGGCGTTCCAGGACAGGAGAACAAGCTGGCCCTCTTCTAGGGCTCCTTGCCCTGGCACCCCTGGCCCACCCACACGTGTCCATAGTCACCTTGAGGAGGCTCAGGTGCCGGGTCACTGGCCTCCAAAGCGACCACAGCTGGTTTTCTTCCTGCTTCTGAATGGCCGCTCACCTCAGCCGTCTCTCAGTGGCCTTCCTCTCTCAGGGATCCTTAGTGTCTTGAGGGCCCTGGCAGTGCCCAGGGGATGCCCAGTGTCACCTGCTACCTGACTTGGCTCACAGTCTCCAGAGAAACTGGGGTGGAGGGTGGTGTCCCGTGGGACTTTCTGACCATTTCTATAGGCAGGGCGAGGGGAGACCGGCCACTGAGCTCAACTGAAAAGTGAGAAGTCTGTGTGAGGGTTCTGAGCCAGCTGGCTGCAGCTTGTGGAGGGACAGCGGTCATTTAGATACAAGCCCTCCTGAGAGGGGTTGGGAGACTGATGGCAGAGAAGCGAATCGAGGTCCTGGTGACTCGGTGCAAGAGACATGGGGTGGAGGGCGGCTATGAGCGGAGGTGTGTTCCTGATGGGAAAGAGTCAGAAAAGAGGCTTCGCTCCATTCCCAGGATCCCCAGGCCCCTTCTCTGACCCCCCACCTCACCCCAGAGCCCCAGAAACTTCTCCCTTCTTGAACGGAAGACTGGAGTTTATTTGGGAGGCTCC